GTAACAAAATATCATAGACAATACCTAGTTGAAATTGTACAAAAATTGAGCTCGAAGGAAATTTATAAAATATCTAGTTAAATCATAAATGTATTCAGTGGCGTGGCGAACTAAAAAATTTTCAGAGGCAAGTATATTCTTCGATAACCACCCACCCACCCACCTAAGAGCCCATGACCTATTATTGAACATTAAACACTAGGTTTGTATTCTCTCTCTTAAAAATTGGCCTATAAAAACATTACATTTATGGGTTTGTGGGGAAATTGCCTCTATCAGGCAATTTCAAAACCATGTTATAAGATTAATCAAAATAACATTAAATGAGATAATATTTTTTAAAAGATCACTTTGGTGTTTAATAGGGTTAAGTAGCACAAATTACAATAATTAAAATATCACTTAATATTTTATTTAAACAATAAATTCTGCATCAAGAGATCGGAGGACTTTGCAAATATGTCAATTGCTTCATTACGATCAATTTCAATATCTCTTTCACAGCTTAATATAAGTAAACTTTCCAACCGATTCTGCCCAATGGTTGATCTAAGCCTAGATTTAACTAGTTTTACCTGAAATCATAATTGTGATGATTTGTATTTTTAGTAAAATTAGATTTTAAAAAACAATATTTGGTTAATAAAAATATAAAATAATAGGTACAGTTAATAATATTATTATTATCTACATTTTACAAAATTATTAGAACTAATTTATAGCTAAAGGTATTTGCAAATAAAAAAGACAAAAAAAAAAGTAGAGAATAGCCATAAAATATGTAATTAAACGCAAAATATGATTGCATAGCCACCAGCTTAGACATTATATGCATTGCACTTGTTTCTTACTTTGTCTTTTTTAGAGTTAAACAAATATAAAAATGCTACAAGTTTTTTGTTCTATTTAATAATAATGAAATAATAATTAAAAATTACCTTAGAAAAGCTGCGTTCAGCAGATGCGGATGATGCAGGTATGATGCACAACGCTTTATATGCCAAGTACAAATTTGGAAAGGCTGCTATTAAGTTGTGACTTGATAATAAACCCAAAATGTCTAAGCTAGACATTTTTGTTGTACTGACTTCTTCAATTTCAGAATCATCACTTATTTTTGAACTAAAATCTGGTTGATCAGTCCTGTCATTATTTTTGTCATTGTATATACTTGTTGTTGTTGAATAATTGTCATTAAAAAGATCATTTAAGCTGTTGCTAAATGTTAAATATTCAGATTGTAATTTATTAGTATCAATGTCTATCCAATTCGATAATTGTTCAAACGCGCTACTGGGCAATTCACTTTTAGTTTTAATGGATAACATACGTTCCGGAGTAAGCAGGCTTAAATCTTTAAGAATTTCTTGAGAATCATTAAATCTTGTGTCAATTGATGTAATAATAGCATCTAAAACTTTAAAACAAACGTCACAGCGAAATAAATCAGTAGGAGATTGTAGCACTTCATCTCTGGATAGTTCACCAGGCATTATTTTCTTCTTTCTTGCTCTTACCATTTTGAAGTCACATTGGGAAAGACTGTTTTTAGTAGCAAATTCTTTAGCAGTATTAATTATTTCAGTACATCCTTCATCAGTACGCAAAATTTTCAATCTATTCTTAGCAATATTCACCATTTTGATAGCTTGCATGAAATCAATAGATTTTGATTGCAAATAGTTTGAAACTTCAGTGGAAACCGAAAATATTCTTCTCATCAGAACCAAAACTAAGATAAATTGGAATGATGTTATAACCGAAATGAAGTTTTTGGCTGTTGAAGTTGTATTACGATCTGAATCATTTGCTTTTGAAATATTTTCCAATGCTTTCAGCAGAGCAGAGTACTTTTCTTGAATGACAACCAAAGCTCGATCATGGGATGTCCATCTAGTAATGGAAAAACGTTTGATGCGACGCTTTTGTTCTCTCGGATTTAATATTTCTTGAGATTCTACAAAGGCAGCCGTCCGTTTTCTAGCTCTCATAAATTCAATTAAAGCGCCAACATTACCGAAAAAAGTTTTGGTATTAATGCAGCAATCACAAGTATCAACTATAACTAAATTTAGTTTGTGGGCAAAACACCAAGTAAACATTGCTTTTGGATTCTCCGCTTGTATACGTGTTTTCAATCCACTGTATTTGCCTTGCATAGAGGCAGCACCATCATATGTTTGAGCAATCATCTGTGTTTTCCAGTTGATATTGTATTTGTCTGTAATGCTACAAAACACTTTAAACATACCTAGACCAGTAGAATCAGAAGCAGTTTCTAGTGCTACCAAACGCTCTTGAGGTTTTCCTTCATCTATGTATCTTAAAATGACAGTTAATTGTTCTTGATTAGAAACATCTGTAGTTGTGTCAATTATTACAGCAAATTGCCCTGACTTATTCACTTGTTTTAAAATATCCTTTCGAACCATATCCGCCAATATACAAAGAAGTTTATTTTGAGTCACATTGGATAAAAATGAAAGACGGTTAATCTTGTTTTCTTTTAATTTTTCTAAATGTAACTTTAATATTGGATTATATGTTGATATAAATGAGCATAATTCTAGAAAATTACCTCTGTTGGTTGATGTATGTTTCTCGTTGTGCCCCCTGAGTGCAATATTTTGTCTTGCAGAAAAAATAAGAGCATCTATAACTATTGATACAATTTGCCTATTTTCTGCAACTTTTCGATTGACACGTTCATGCATTCCTGTGTCAATCCTTACGTTCTTTTCATACATTACTCGAGCCATTTCACTTGTTAGATGTTCTGGGAAGCTTTCATGGTTTTCTATTGTTCGCTTAATATTTTTATAATCATTAGACCCTTTATCTGCTAAAAACGTTTTCTTTGCCTTAGGCAGACCAAATAGCTTACAAGTGATGCAATAAAAACGGTCTTGTGAAGGGGAGTAGGATAACCATAACCGTTTTACAAATTTTCCATCTTCAATCTTACGGTGATAATAAGTTTCATGAAATGAACGCATAACACCTTGAGAGTCTTTCTTTTGTGGAAATATCTTGTTCTTTAATTCTAAGGCGGATGGTTGACAAGGGCCCAATGAAAAAAAATGATTTTTCAACTCATATGATACAGTTGTAGGTAAAATGGCTGGATCATTTGGGAAATCTAAAAAAAAAATGGTACAGTTATTATTTAAAGTAAATAAAAAATTAATTTTAAATTCTATTTGTAATTTAAACTGTATTATTATGGCTTATACAAAAATTGTTATAAAAGTTGTATATCTATTTTCAATTAAATATTTATTTTTTCAACATCCAAATTTGATATCAAACCACAAGTATTGTTTACCTGATGGATAACAACATAATTGAGAAGTATCTTCTTCAATATTTATCTGTGAATATGACTCATTTTGGGTAGCACTACATATTTGTACATCGTTCCCATCATTATTTAAAGATACATCCGAATCCGAAATACCTATGTAAAATATAATTACAATTTGTAATAATAATAATATTATTAGTAAGTATAATTTGTTAGAACATAAATTGAATAATACCTGTTGGGTTAAAAAAACTCGAGCAAGAAGCAGAGGGATAATTGACAAGTTGTTTACCATCATTATTTAAAGATATATCCAAATCCAAAATACCTATGTAAAATAGTATACAAAAATTATTTACAGTTTTTCATAATAATATTATTATTCATTAGAAAGTATACTTTTTAATAACATTAATTGACTAATACCCACATGTATTAAATCAACATGATGTGTTAATGAAGTATATTAATGAAGTAGGTACTCACCAGTAATACATGGTTTAGTCGTTTTGAAAAAATAATTCAATGTATCCAAACGTTTGTTTCCACCTTTAAATTTAAGCTTACACGAACTAACATGTCGCTTCCAATTAACTTCATTAATTTTTTTTAAATCCCGTTCACGTCCACAGTATTCACACTTCATATTACTCATTATTAGTTAATTACTTAAAATTATGTGACATGTGTTGTCGACTCACGAACGGCGAACAAAATAATTAAAAATAATATTGGGAATGCGATAACGATATGTGATATTTTATAGAGTCCAACGTCCAACTACACTAGGTACTACAGTCTACAGTGCACACAAGATAATTTCTTTCACCGGTTGTTCAGAAAGTTTATTCTATTTTTATACTTCTGATATCGATAACAATAAATAATAATACGATATACCGTCCCAATGTACTTGTTGTTACCAGCTGGCAGCCTGCTGCAGTGGTTAGACAGTAGTTATAGTTACTGGTACTAGGTGCTGCACTACAATTACTGCCTACTAGCAAGTGGCCACACTGACTTCTCCTTATATCATTATTAAAATATATTTCTGTGTGTTATTTTTCTACATTTGTAATAATTATGAAACTAAACTATTACCCACCCACCCAATGGCACCCACCCCCCCATTAAAAAACTGAGAGGCGGCCGCCTCTCGATGACCCCCTTCGCCACGCCACAGAATGTATTATATGTTTATCTCCCGTCTAACTAATTTGGTTAGTGTATTTCATGAAATAACACCATTTAATACTTTAACACAAATATATACTATAC